CCATCTCCTCCCTTCCACCCACCTTGCCTTTAAACCCCACCTGTACAGAAATTTGGGGTGGGCTTGGGGTTTATTCTGGGACTTCCAACTCTTGAATATATACCCCCGTGCTTAAAGGCAGTGTCTTTAGAGAAAATTCTCAGAAGGGGTCAAGGCCTAGGGTTCAGAATTTGTTCCAGAACCTCTTGGTATTCTTCCAGTGAAGTTCACGCTTCTTCTTGGTCTGGAGAATTCTGATTGTTGATGTTTGTGTTTCCCAGGCTTGTTTGATGGAGCCAGGGATTGTGGGTGGGTAGGTTCAAATCAGGGTATTCCCTGGGGTGGTGTAACTTTTTTTAATTTGGGAAATGAGATTTCTTTGTTTGCCGCAGTCAGGCATTCAGTAAAAGGTGTAGAGGCAGCTCTCTCTGCCTTCCCATCCAGATAAGGGCTTTCTTTTCAGTGAGTGTGTTACCACTTTTTAAATGGCCCCTACTGTTTGTCTGAATCTTATGTGAATCTTTTTATAGCTTCCGCTGTTGTTTCCATTGACTCCTTATACTTAAAACTGAAAGCGATCTGTAGTTAGTCTCCCTTTTTAGCTGGAATCTGTTTCCAGTTCTGAGTTTTTCCTGATGATTGACGACTGTGTTTTGGGGTGTGGGCAGAGCTGTTGAGAGCTGCCAAGTTACTGTTAAAAAAAAAAAAAAGGCCAGAGAGTTTTATGTTCTTTTGAAACTGAATAAAGCCCATTGTAATGGGATTACAATGGACAACAGTAGATATCTTCAGAGCAGTGGTTAGAATTCACTTATTCTTTCGACAAATATTTATTGAGTATCTACTGTGTGCCAGGCATTCTCTAGGCCAGCCCTGACCGATAGAAATATAATGCCACATCTGTAATTTAGAATGTTCTAGTAGCTGCGTGAAAAAAAAAAGTGAAACCAATTTTAAAATTGTATGTGTCAATCCAGCATATCTAAAATATATCATGTCAACATGATTATTGATTTATTTTAGGTTTTTTTTTTTTTTTTGGTACTAAGTTCAAAATCTGGTGTATGTTATGTACTTAACAGCCCATCTTAATTCGGACTTGGCATATTTCAGATGGTCAGTGGTCAACTGTGGCTAGTAGTTACTGTATTGGACAGTATGGCTCAATAGCGAGCAGATGGGCAAGTTTGGGGTGTGGGTGGGGAAGAGAGAGGCAGTGAATACATGAAAACAAGTAAACAATCAAGAAAAGATGAGTGAGTGGTGCCCATAAAATTAAATGGGGTGAACGGAAAGAGACTGACCGATAGTAAGACCAGGAAGGTCTCAGAATGTGACATTGACACTGAGCCCCTGAATGGTAGGATGCAGCAGGCAAAGATCTGGGGCCTGCCAGGCTGTTTTCCAGGCCCAGGGAACAGCTAATGTCAAGATCGCAAGGCTGGACAAACCAGCAAGCTTCCCGCTGGCTGGAGTCCTAGCTTTCTTGTCTGTGCTCAGGTGAATCTCCTTGCACAGATGCAGCCCATAATAAGTATCTTTCCATTCAGTCTGTTTGTCCAAGTACATCCCAATGATGGGATGTACAAAAACCCTGATCCGTGGGCCTTTTCACTAAGAAGGGCCACGGCAGGTGCAATCCCGGATGAGAGCTGGATCCTCTCGGCTCTGCTTTTTGTTTTTGGGGGGGTCTTTTTGTTTTGTTTTGCTTTTTAAGTTCTCCACTAATTATGGCTTTTTCCCCCCAGCAGCCAAGTTTAGTTTGGGTTCAGACTCCCCTTCAGAATTTCTTTAACTCTAGAAACGAAGAGATAGGAGTCAGTGAGTTCTTTTCTTCTTTTGGCTCCTGGATTCCTGAGCCTGAAATAGCAGGAGATTAAATCTCCATATCACAGAAATAGAGTGTGAAATCTGGGTATGGCTCATGTTTAAGAAGCATTTCGTATGAAATGTTTGGCATAAGCGTCATAATACTTTAAGGGGCTTCATTTTGTTTATATTTAAAGAGGTATACCACATATATTTTTTTCAGCAAATACTGACTGCCTGCTCTCTGCCAGGAACTCCGCTGCGCACTGAAGAGAAACATACAAGGTCCCTTTTAGCATGGAGTTGGTGTCCTGGTTGAGGGGAGACAGATACTCCTCATCGTGGTGATTGTGCTATAAAGAACACGATGTTGAGGAGTTGTGAAGGAGATTGACTTGGGGCAGAGAAGAGCACTCTAAGGAGTTGTTATTTGAGCCAAGACTGAATGAAGAGAAGGGCCAGTCATGGAAGGGCATTCCAGGCGAAGAGACCAGCTGGTGCAAAGGCCCTGAGTTCGGAACTAATTGGGCACTGTGAAGGGGTGAGTGAAGGCTGGAGTCAGGGGCAGGGAGAGGAGAGTCATAAGCCCAGGTGGGGTTGAAGGCAAGGGGCCAGGTTATGTAGGACTTTAAGGGCACAGTAAGGAGTTTGAATTTTTAAGAGTGGCTGAAACTGATCACTCTAGGAAGTGAGAATGGATGGCGGGGGCCAGAGTGGAAGCTAGGAGAGCAGTTGGAAGACTGCTCGGAGAGAGGTGATGTTGATGAAATGGTTTGCATAGATTAGAATAGTAGCCATGGAGATAGAGAAGTTAGGTTTGCCAAGTGTTTTGGAAACAGCCCTGATAAAACTAGTTAATGGATTTGGTTTGGGAAGGAAAGAAAAGGAGTCAAGGGGGACCCCTTTTTATTGTGCAAAGCCTCCACAGTGCAGGTTGTGGGAGAAGTGACCCAAGTGTGAATATTGGGATTGAGACATTTCCGTCTAACAGGAAAGAATGTGCCTCCGCATCAGTCGATGACATCCAAGTTGCTCCACCTTCGCTCTCCCGACATTTTAAGCGAGATAGTCCTTAGTTGTGGGGCTGTCTTGTGCACCGTAGGATGCTTGGCAGCCTCCGCAGCTTCTGTTCATTAGATACCAGTAGCACCACCCCCAATCATGACAGCCAAAATGTCTCCAGACAGCGCCACGTGTCCCCAGGGGGCAAAATCCGTCGAGAACCACTGGATTACGGGAAGGAAGCATTGACAGAGATTAGGGCCAGGCCACCCCAAGAAAATATCCAGGAATAACGAGAATGAAGACAACACCACAGGGGGTGGCTGGGTAACATTGAGAGACTGGTTTCGGATTTAAAATATAAAGTAACTTCTTACCATGCAGATAGTCCCATCCAAAGGAATATGCTCCCGTAGACCAGTACTTGTGTAGATGAAAAGATCTCACCTACAGATTTCTAGGAGGAATTACCTATACAAATAACAGTTTAGACAGACCCAATGTATTAAAACCTAGATTTATACATAGAACATCAGGAAATGACTATTCTCTTTGCAAAGGAAACTTCTTAAATTTTCTTTAAATAGCAAAGCCACCAAAGGCTTGATATGATTAAAATGCTATTTAAAGAGAGAATCTTCAGCAGCACATTTATTTTATAACCCAAGATCATACCCACATCTATAATGCATGTACCAGGAGATATTCTATGTATACAGACATGCATCTCTCTATGTATACGTTTACCACCCGTTTCATTGAACACAAGATACCAAGGTTCATATGTATCACTGAGATAAAATGCTGCCTATTTAGCTATAAAAATTCACCGTTTGTAGGATATATCCTGATTTCAGTGGTCATATATGTGAAAAGACCTATAAAGATGTCTCCTAAAATATATGAAATAGGGGCGGTTTAAATCAGTATCTATCTGGTAACAGGTATAAAAAGGGTCAAGGTCTTGAAACTAGTGAAGTGGAACATAGACATCAGGAAACGACCTCATTCGGAGTGGAAGCCAGTTTTTATATTAGTGTATATCATAATCATAATTAGTAGTCAGAAAATCAGTTCTGAATGCCTTTAGCTTACGAGCTTCCATTGAGAACCTTCCTCTGGAGTAGAGGCTTGAACTAGGAAATGCCCTTCAGGTGGAGGAAGAAACACCAGTGCAGCATGTGCTGTTCACAAGGCACTGTGCTGGGGCCCTGAGAGAAATGAAAATGAACTTCTTTTGGTGTTTGAACAAGGGTGCTTAAATCCTGGTGGAGGGTGGACCAGAAGGAAATTAGTAAACTATAGGAGAGAATGAAGTCGGCAGGGTGGGACTCACTTCCTCTTTAGTAGAGATCATAGAGATAGGGATGTGTGCTAGGGATTCTCAGAAGCTCAGGTGTGCATACCAGTGAGCTGTGTGGGGCCTGGCCAGGTGAGACTCGTGTGGCCAGAGGTCATGGAAAGGAGGCGGGGCCGGTGGTCTGGGGTTCAAGGCCCAGGCTCCACTGCTGTTCTGTGTACACAGGTGGGAGCCTGGAATGTGTTTGAGAGAAATGTCCTGATGTGATGTGTGTTTCAGCTTTAGCGGAGTTCCCTGGGGCGAGGAGGAAAATCAGGAGAGTCTTGTAAAAGATCTGGGCAAGATGGGATGAAGGTTTAAAACCAGAACAGACTGGAGATGGAAATGGAAGGCCAGATCAAGAGGTCTGAGCGGCAGGAAGCTGGGCAAGCGCTGAACATTTTAGCCTCTGCGATGGGGAGGATGCTGGTGAATGAGAGGGAACCTTCTCGTGTCGGATATTCCTTCTTTCACCTGCTTCCCAGTGGCAGGTTCTTTTAAGGAGACTTTAAATAAATACATTTGAAGGCCTCCTGATCTGCACTGTCTAGCTAGCGTGGTCCAGCCTGGTCCATCTCTCCTCTTTCTTCCTCTTCGAGCATTCATAGGAAAACGAGGCCTCCATTCACTGGGTTCACTGGCACAAAGGTTACTGTGAGTCACGGTTAACCAGCGGTGGCCAGTGCCAGAACTGAGTAACCGCACTGGAATGTGGCCTGTGGCTACTGCTATTGCCGCAGGTCATTTAAATGACAACTCCCTCCCGGAATCCAGAATATCACCCATTGCCTTGGGGAGACCGCGGCTTTCCTGGGTCTGAGTCAGCGGGGCGGTCCGGAGCCCGGCTCCCCACTTTCCCGGGGAAGTGAGGGTGTTTGTCTGAAGCATGCTGTCTCCCGTCTCAGAGGAACCGCTGCTGCTGGCTGAGCTCAAGCCCGGGCGCCCCCACCAGTTCGATTGGAAGTCGAGCTGCGAAACCTGGAGCGTGGCCTTCTCCCCAGATGGTTCGTGGTTCGCGTGGTCTCAAGGACACTGCATCGTCAAGCTGATCCCCTGGCCGCTGGAGGAGCACTTGTAAGTTCTGTCGTACCCAGACCCAGAGGAGCGAGGGAGTCCTCACGGTGGGGAACTTGAGAGTGCTTTCCCAGATGACTCCCTACCCTTTGTGGGTCTCCCTGCCCAGGAGCAGGAGAGAGGGAGTGGCTGAAAACCAGGAATTGATCATTGGGGTTTCTGGAGCCCCCTCACGTTTGGTATGTGTGAAAATCAATCCAGTGGAGATGATGTTATCCGTACTGTCATTTTTTAACAGCTTTAGTGAGCTGTAATTTACCCAGCATACAATCTGCCCATCTAAAGAGTACAGTTCAGTGGCTTCCAGTAGATTGACGGAGTTGTGCAACCATCACCACTATCAATCTCAAAACCACTGTCCTTGCCCCAGAGAGAGAGCCCACATCCCTTAGTTGTCGTCCTCCAGTCTCACTCTGTTCTCCAGCCCCGAGCAGCCGCTAATCCACTTTCTGTCTTTACACGTTTGCTTCTCCTGGACATCTCACATAAATTGAATTGTACACCGTGTAGTCTTTTCTGACTGCTTTCTCGCATTTAGGATCTTGTTTTCAGTTATCCGTGTTACAGCACGTATCCGTACTTCCTTTCCTTTTATTGCCAGATAAATGGCATAATGTGGAGACGGCACATTTTGTGTATCATCTGTCCATTGGTAGACACTTAGGTGGCTTTCCCTTTCTGGCTGTTAGGAATGATGCTGTGTAGGTTTTGGCGTGGACGTGTGCTTTCAGTGTTTCGCTGCATGAGAAACAGTCAGACTGTTGAGCAGGGGGGCTGTAGCATTCTGCAGTCCCACCAGCAATGTGTTATTTCCCCGTCCTCACCAACACTTGTTGTCTGTCTTTCTGATTGTGGCATAGCCGTCCTGGCGGCGCAGGAAGTGGCAACTCATTGTTTGGATTTGCATTTCCCGATGGCTTCTGACGCCAAGCACCTTTACTTATGCTTTTTTTTTTTTTTCCTTATGCTTCTTGATCCATCGCAAATCTTCTTTGGAGAAATGTCCATAGACATTCTTTGCCCATTTTGCTTTGAGATGTTTATTTATTTTTGAGAGAGTGCAAGTGGGGGAGGGGCAGACAAAGGGGGACAGAGAATCTGAAGCGGGCTTTGTGCCGACAGCAGTGAGCCCGATGTGGGGCTCGAACTCATGACTCTGGGATCATGACTTGAGCTGAAGTCTGTTGCTCAACCGAGTGAGCCACCCAGGTGCCCCTGCCCATTTTTAAATTGGGTGTTTGGTTTTTTTTCTGATGTTAACTAGTTTCTTTCTGTGGGGTTGGACAGGTCCCAGCATCCGAATGCTGTGAGCGCCTGGTCAAAGGGCCCAGCATCTGCATTTTCTCATTTGTGGCAGGGCAGTTCCATGTCTGCCTTTATTTATTCAGCCAGTATTGTTGGAAATCTTTTTTGGCCTCACACCGAGCCAGGGTCTGAGAATCCTGAAAGAAACCCAGCAAGGCCCCTGCCCTTGAGGGTCTCATTTGTTTTGTATTAGGCGTTTCTTCACATCACGCATTTGATTTAACGTTTAATGTTTCCTTAGTGGAGTCTGAAGCTCCTTGCCTTGATGACAGGCACCGCCGAAGAGAACTCGCTGAGACGGTCCTCTGCACGCTGCTGGGTTTGAGGGGTGTCCATTTGGCTGTTTGGCAGGATGCATCGAGGACCTTGAAACTGTTCTCCGGCTACCAGGGATCTGGGATATGGGGTCATCTATTTTTATTTACATACGCTGATTTTTGTCACGGAGTTGGTTCTGTAGTAGTGACAAAACAGAAATCCCTTAAAATCCAGTGATGAGAGGATGGTACAGGAACTTATGGCATTGCTATAGGGTATTTTTTGCAGCCATGAGAGATTTTCTTGCTTTAATCATGATATTTTCTTCTGTGTAGTCAGTTTCATGAGAATGCCAAAGCCATTCTTTTTTCTTATTGAGCTCCTACTGTAAATGTAAGAGACTCAACTGTATATCCAGTCCGGTACGAATTTAGTCAGAAAAAGAATTAAAAAAAAAAAACATAGAAATAGAAACTTTTTCCAAAAATCACTCCTATCCAAACATCTACATTACCACAGGTAAATATATCCTTCTAGTATGAACTTAGGAAAACGGAAATCGGAGTATTAATCCTTCTTGTGTCTCTGTTCTTTAAATATAATGAGAGAAATGTTATTATTTAGTATGTTAAATGAGAAGTTACTTGTTTTAGGGAAAAATCACACATTGTGAAGAATAGTAACTTATGATAATGCTTAATAATATAAGGAAGGTTTACTGAAAAAAGTAAGCTATAAAACCATATATGTAATATGGTCCCAAATTTGTCTTTAAAAAATGTGGGGGTGCCTGGGTGGCTCAGTCGGTTAAGCGGCCAACTTCGGCTCAGGTCGTGATCTCGCAGTTTGTGAGTTTGAGCCCCGTGTCGGGCTCTGTGCTGACAGCTCAGAGCCGGAGCCTGCTTTGGATTCCGTGTCTCCCTCTCCCTCTCTCTGTCCCTCCCCCACTCACACTCTGTCTCTCTCTGTCAAAAATGAATAAACGTTAAAGAAAAAAAATTTTTTTAATGTATGTACATACACGTAAATAAAAACTGATCTGAAATGTTTACTCTGGTTAGAGTGGTGTTAGGATTATAGGTAATTTTTATTTTATTTGTCTCCCTTCCAAATTTTTCCCATAGTTCTCTATTATTTTTATAATTTAAAATAATTGATATTCTTAAAGTCCTTTAAAAGGGGAACTCTGAGGTCTTTATATTCTTGTTTGGATTGTTACACATTAAAAAAAATTAATAGCACCTTTGGTATTGAGCAAATAATCGATACTAACCAGAGAATTGTATTTTAATAATTTTAGAAATAAAGTTTTTAGAAGCTTAAATTGCAGTGAAGTTAAATTCCCCCTATGACCCTCCCTTGCCGCTAGCCATCCCCTCCCTATGCATGCACCACCTCCACCCCCCCCCCCCCACCATGTAACTCAAGGGAGTTGATTCAGTGGCAAACTCCAAAGTCCAGGGGATCTGTTGAGTAGTAGGCTTGGATACCCAAGACTTAAGTTCTAGTTCTGCCCCAGATTTTGTGACCCCATGATAGAGGTCTTAGTATCTCTTTTTAATTTTTTTTTTTAACATTTTATTTATTTTTTTATTTAAAAAAAAATTTTTTTTTAACGTTTATTTATTTTTGAGACAGAGAGAGACAGAGCATGAACGGGGGAGGGTCAGAGAGAGGGAGACACAGAATCTGAAACAGGCTCCAGGCTCTGAGCTGTCAGCACAGAGCCCGACGCGGGGCTCGAACTCACCGACTGCGAGATCATGACCTGAGCCGAAGTCGGCCGCTTAACCGACTGAGCCACCCAGGCCCCCCCACATTTTATTTATTATTAAGAGACAGAGACAGACAGAGCATGAGCATCGGAGAGGCAGAGAGAGGAGGAGATACAGAATCTGAAGCAGGCTCCAGGCTCTGAGCTGTCAGCACAGAGCCTGATGCGGGGCTCGAACTCACGAACTGCACAATCATGACCTGGGCCAAAGTCGGTCGCCCAACTGACTAAGCCACCCAGGCACCCCGAGTGTCCAACTCTTAATTTCAGCTCAGGTCATGAGCCAAGGGTTGTAGGATATTGCCCCGTGTCGATCTCAGTGCTGACCATGGAGCCTGCTTAAGATTCCCTCCCTCTCTCTTTCCCCCTCCCTCCTTCTGCCACTCACCCATGTGCATGTGCTCTCTTAAAAAAAATTTTTTTTGAATGATAAAGCTCTAAGCCAGGCCCAGTTTAGGACTTTTTAGCTCTGTTTCCTGTCTCCCCCATCCCTGAGGGTACTTCCTCCTTGTTCCTGACTTTAGCGTCTGCCCATACCCAGGATTAAGCCCCCTTTTATTTACTCAGCAATTCATTCTTCTATCCTGGCCTTTTTCTCTTGTACCTCTCAAAATCTGACATATGCCGTATGTGTGTGTGTGTGTATGTATGTGTGTATACATACACATGCACACACACACATATATATACACACATACATGTGTATATACATAATTTTTTTTTCATTCTCTCTCAACTAAAATGTCAGGTCCTTGAGGGCATGGTTCCCTGCTGTTCCCACGGGACTCCAGAACAGGTCTGGCAGATGAATGGTCTCTCCCTGTCTTCAGCTCTTCTCCTCCATTCTTCTCAAACACAGGTCTGATTAGGTCCCGTAGCTGCTTACACAATTCCAGTGGGTCCTCACGGTAGTGGGATGAGAGTCAAACAATGCGGCCAGGCACTGACAGGGATGCACAGGAGAGTGCTTGCTCTCCACTGTGCGGCCCACCTCTCAGCGCCACTGTGTTCCTTCCTGTTCTCCACAGAAGGCCCTGTCCCAAGCTCCTTTACCTGGAAAATCTATCCTCATTCTTTTTTTAATGTAAAAAAATTTTTTTTAACGTTTTATTTATTATTGAGAGACAGAGACAGAGCATGAGCATGGGAGAGGGAGACAGAGGAGGAGACACAGAATCCGAAGCAAGCTCCAGGCTCCGAGCTGTTAGCACAAAGCCTGAGGTGGGGCTCAAACACACAAACTGCGAGATCATGACCTGAGCCAAGTCAGATGCTTAACCAACTGAGCCATCCAGGCGCCCCAGTATCTCTTTCTAGAGAAAGTACATTTAAAAAAAAAAAAAAAAAGAGAAAGTAAATTTATGATACTTAAATGAATTAATCTGCAGATATGCCTTGGGGCGCCTGGGTGGCTCAGTCAGTTAAGTGTCCGACTTCGGCTCAGGTTATGATCTCATGGTCCTGAGTTTGAGCCCTGGATCCCGCTTTGGATTTTATGTCTCCCTCTCTCTCTGACCCTCCCCTGCTCACACTCTGTTTTCCTCTCTCTCAAAAAATAAACATTTTTTAAAAAATGTGCAGATATGCCTTAATTCCTTTGGAATAAAATAGCTACTACAGATTATTCCTTAATTCAAAGGCAAAAATTAGGATTCTGTAAAAAAATAAAACAAATGGAACTTCGGTGGTTCTCGGGTGTCCTATAAAGCTTTTTCTGCGTCTTGCCTTTTCTGTGCTTCTTCCCTGGATGGCAGACTCAGGCTCCTGTGCCTGGGCCAGGCAGGTCTACAAAGCGTGTGGGTTGAGCAGGGTCAGTCGAAAAGACATTATCACATTCAGATGTTTGTCAGGACGACAGGTTTTCAAACTGCATTGGCCATTGAGACCTGGGGTCAGCAGACTTTTACTGTGAAGGCGCGGATGTTAAATATTTTTGGCTTTGGGGGCCATACGGACTCTGTCGAGACCACTCAGCTCTGCCGTTAACAGCAGAAAGCAGCCATTGATGGTATGTGAAGGAATGAATGTGGTGGTTTCCGATAAAACTTTGTCTCTGAAAGCAGATTGCTGGCCTGGACATAGTTTGCCAACCTCTGATTTCAACTAATAGAGTTTTAGAGCTCGAGGAGCCTATGTTTGCCTCAATTCCATCTCCTCCCTTCTAATTTTACAGGTGAGCTTAGTGAAAATTTTGTAATAGATTTCAACCACACACTTGGCAAAAATATGATTTGCTTACAGCTTTGGGGGAACAAATCTAATACATAAAGACGTCCTGTTATGTATACGCTGAGTATGGGATTTTTCATGGAATGGAGTTCCAGCTTCCTCATCTCCATTTCCCCCAGTTTGGTATGCCCGGAGTATGGTCAGGGCCACCCAGAAAGGTAGGACTTAACACTTGCACTGATAAAGTATACTGCAGATGGGAAACTTTGATGTTGGGGGCTGAACCCCCAGGGCTGTCCAACTTCTCAAGCCCGTGAGGTGGTGTCTACTGGGGGGAATGGTGGGTGGGGCCTGCGTCTTCTGTGACTCATCTGGGCCTGTGTTTTACCGTCAAGTAGAAGGTAAAAGCAGGGGGTCCGGCCACGGGATCTTTGAGGTCAGTGCAGTTCTGCACAATTCGGTGGGCTCTTTCTCTCCTTGATCACCTCACTGGTCGGTTCCTGTGCTGGACATACCATCAGAGAGGTAAGCGAAAGAGCCTCACTGATTGGTTGGAACACAAAGCGAGTGAAGGTGGAAATCAGCGTGTACCAAGCAAACTGTGTTGGTCGGAAGAGGGTTTATTTTCCCACTCCTTGGGGCTTTCTAAGCTCGAGATAAAGGGGCTCATCAGGCAGGGGAGCAGCAGATGGGTATTCAAGTTCTAAGATCTGTCCTAGTTCCAAAGCTACGGCATGCCTTCTTCCTCATGGGAAACACTGAGTGCATCTTTCCTTCCATGCACCAAACCCGAGAGAACTTTCTGAGGAAGCGTATGGCTCCCTGGGGCTTCTGTGATCTAGTTATCCCACAAGGCGGGTCACCCCGTTGCAGGGTTATCACAAATGGGATGAACCAAGGCTAATGAAGTCTCTGTTACATGGATTCTAAAAAGAAATGAAAAGTCATGCCAGAATTCACGGAAGGCCAATTTGTTTCTAGAACTTTAATGTCTCAGATACCCTAAAATGAGAAGTTGGTTGGTTGCCTTGGTGACAATTTTAGACTCATGAAGGGATCTCTGCTTCCTCCAGCATCCCTAAAGGGTTTGAAGCCAAAAGCCGGAGCAGCAAAAATGACACAAAAGGGCGAGGCAGCCCAAAGGAGAAGACTCTGGACTGTGGGCAGATTGTCTGGGGTTTGGCCTTCAGCCCGTGGCCTTCTCCACCCAGCAGGAAGCTCTGGGCACGCCACCATCCCCAGGTGCCAGACATCTCTTGCCTGATCCTTGCTACAGGACTCAATGATGGGCAGATCAAGATTTGGGAGGTGCAGACAGGTAGGTCATTTCTGCCTGCGACAGGGGGCAGGGTCTGCCCAGACAGGGTCCGGGTGTGCATGTTCTCATCAGGGATCACGGGGGCCGCCAGGCCCCCAGCCGGCTGAGGGGTGTGGCTGTGACCAGCAGACCGGGTGCCTCCTCTTTCCCACTGACTGACTACTCCTGCTCCCACGCCAGGGCTCCTGCTTTTGAATCTTTCCGGCCACCAAGATGTTGTGAGAGATCTAAGCTTCACGCCCAGCGGCAGTTTGATTTTGGTGTCAGCATCTCGGGATAAGACTCTTCGCATCTGGGACCTGAACAAACATGGTATGGAGGTGAAGGCACCACCGAGCGGCTCCGCAGATAACCATATTTGCTCCTTTCTCCACGTGACCCATGTCACCTTTATCTAGAACAGTGTTTCTCAACCAGTTTTCCTAAGGGGTCTTTTAAGACATTTTTTCCTAACCTTCCTCATCCCCATGAAATACTAGTATTGAGAATATACCATTTACTTAGGCACTGAGTGCGTACCTGTGCACATAAAAAAAGTAAGACTCCACCCCTATTGAAAATACATGATAGAGCATAGGTTTTCTCAACCATGGCATCAGTGGCATTTTGGGCACAGTAATTCTTCCGTTTTTGTTTTTTTTTAATGTTTATTTCTGAGAGAGAGAGAGAGAGCACAAGCAGGAGAGGGGCAGAGAGGAAGAGAGAGAGGGAGACACAGAATCCAAAGCAGGCTGCAGGCTCCAGGCTCTGAGCTGTCAGCACAGAGCCTGACTTAGGGCTTGAACCCATGAACTGCGAGATCATGACCTGAGCCTAAGTTGGACGCTTAACTGACTTAGCCACCCAGGCGCCTCTGTGCATGATAATTCTTTGTTCCAGGCCGTCCTGTGCATTCTGGGAGTTGAGCAGCACCCCTGACCCCTACCCATTAGATACCAGGTGCACCTTTTCTTGTTCTGACAACCAAAATGTCTCCAGACCCCACGCCCTGTCCATGTGAAGGGCAGAGTCTCCCCAGGTTAGGAACCACAGATCTAGAAGTCCTCCGTGTGGGATACTTCCTGTCAGAAATCATGTTTCTCTGTGAAGCGGAATCTTTGCCTAGAAGAAATCTCTTAGACTTGAGAGGGTCAACTTTTGTGGAATTTTGCTGTGAGCAGAACCGCATACAGAGGTGGCCCAGCAAAGAATTCCATGCATCTCCAGTATTGAGCTTCAACTGGAAAGGTGACATAGGGAAGGGGAATTTATCTCCAGGCCACTTCTTCCCCACATGGGCAGGGACTCGGGGGCTGGAGGGAGGAAATGGCGATGTGGACAGTTGATGAAGAGGGCGTTCATCCCTGATAACGCAGAGGGACCGGTATTCCTGCCTCAGCCGTGACGGGGCCAGCTCCCCACAACCATGAGCTACTCCTGCCCTCTTAGAAACAAGCCTGCTGGGGGCGCCTCGGTGGCTTAGTCGGTTGAGCGTCCGACTTCAGCTCAGGTCATGATCTCGCAGTCCGTGAGTTCGAGCCCCGCGGAGCTTGTTTCAGATTCTGTGTCTCCCTCTCTCTCTGCCCCTCCCCTGCTCATGCTCTGTTTCTCTCTCTCTGTCAAAAATAAATAAAAACATTAAAGAAAAGAAACGAGCCCACTGACTTGTCAAACAGCCAAGGAGGTGCTTGTGGTGTCCTTATCCAGGGGCATCTGGTCACCAAGAGAACTCTGGCAGTTTCTGCCCTTGGCTGTGGAACGTGAAGTCATAAGATAGGTCTGCTGCCTGGGAAGGCTCCTCCAAGGTGGCGCCATTTTTAATGCATCCTGAGGCAGCTTGTTGCCACCATGTAAGGAAGGTTCTTGAAGCGACTTGAAAGTCTTTCGGTGGCTAGGGGCTCCTGGGTGGCTTTGTGGGTTGAGCATCCGACTTCGGCTCAGGTCATGATCTCGCAGTTTGTGAGTTCGAGCCCCGCCTCGGGCTCTGTGCTCAGAGCCTGGAGCCTGCTTCGGATTCTGTGTCTCCCTCTCTTTCTCTGCCCCTCCCCTGCTCACATTCTGTCTCTCTCTCTCAAAAATAAAAAAAAATTAGAAAAAAAATTTCTCTTAAATAATAAAACCTTTCAGTGGTTGGAAGGCAGGACTAGCTGAAGGGGACTGGGAGCAGGCCAGTGCACTAGGGCATTCCCAGGAGGGGAGGGGATGAAGTCCTGTTCCCAGGTCTGGGCCTGGCCCTACCCTTATGCCTGAATTTGTTCAACACTCACAGCCACCCTGGGGATAGGTGCTGCTCTGATAGGACAGCTGAAGAAACCATGACTTACCTAAAAAAAAAAAAATTATATGGACCCACATACATATATGTAAACTCTTCAATGCATGACTCTATGTGTTCATGTAAACTTTTTTTCCCCCTTTTCCCCCTTTCAAACCCAAGTTCGTCTTGGTACCTCCTCCTACCCCGTCTCTTTCCCCGTCTCATCCTCCCCTCCCATTGCATCCTTCCCTGTATTCCCCCGGCAACCTCCTGGCCCATGCTCGCAGCCTTCCGCATTCCCCTGTATACTTACTTGCATATTCCTGCTTGGAATCAGGGGTCAGTTATGGATTTGGGAGTCATCGTTCCACAAAAAGATTCATGTTATTCGCATATTTTCTGCAAAATAGTACTCCATGGAAATTCTAATTTTTTTTCTTAGTGTTTGTCTTTGAGAGAGAAACAGAGCGTGAGCAGGGGAGGGGTAGAGGGAGAGGGACACACAGAATCCGAAGCAGGCTTCAGGCCCTGAGCTGCCAGCACAGAGCCCGACATGGGGCTCGAATTCATGAACCGCAAGATCATGTGACCTGAGCCGAAGTCAGACGCTCAGACGCTCAACTGACTGAGCCACCCAGGCGCCCCTTCCGTGGAAATTCTAGGTCCCTAATGCCATCTGAATTAACGGGGTAGATGTATTCCATATATTTACCCATTCTCTTATGCTTATGGATGGACATTTTAGTTTTTCCCCAAAACAGAACTGGAGAGGTTATCTAGGTGGCCCTTATGTGCTGAGGAAACCGTGGAGACAGGGTTCAGAGCCAAGTTCGCCTGACAGCAGAGCACGTGGCCCTCATTACTCTGCACCGTTGCTCATCCAGACACTCTGGGGAGGGTGAGAGAGCAGGAGAGGGGGAAGCCATTACAGAGTGTAAATGACAGAAGCACAGATAAAACAGTCTCAAATTTGGGAGGATGCTTCAAAGTTCTAGAGGTGGTTGAGGGACCTAAAAAGAATGTTCTCTCATGTCAAAGGGATCTGTCAGATCTGATCTATGTATATAGCCTTTCTCCCATTGATCTGGTGGGTTTTGGTGAAACAGAAAGTAGTGATTTCCTTGGGGATCAGAATACCGTATGAATCGGTTTCAGTGTTTAATGACAAATCCTGTCTTCTTCCTCTGCGTGAAAAAAGTGGGCCTTTGGGCTCAGCTGACAGAGAACCATATGGGTGTACTGGGCAGGTGGGTGACCACCAGCTCTCCGGTCTTCTGAGTTTGTGGTTTCGGGAACTGGCTCACCATTCGCTCCTTTTCTGTGCCAGGTAAACAGATCCAGGTGTTATCGGGCCACCTGCAGTGGGTTTACTGCTGCTCTGTCTCCCCGGACTGCAGCATGCTGTGCTCTGCAGCTGGAGAGAAGTCGGTAAGTCTCAAACGTTGGGTACCATTTTCTCTGCTGCCTGAGTTCTGCGAGACCTGGAGGTCTGAATGGGCCTCGCGTGAGAGGGAAAGTAGGCCCCGTGCCTCAAGATTCATGTGCAAACCAGCCCCAACAGAAGGCATGCTTGTGGGCCGTGACCTCCTCTTGCACACCTCTCTTCTGATACGCACTTTGACACAAACCAGAAGAGAGGAGATGCTTGAAGTGGGTGGTTGCTCTCACCACTGGATGAGGGCTGTCTGCCTTCACAAAATGGTAAAGGTGTGCTTTTTAAATTTCTTTCCCCTCCCCAGAGTCTTTTTTTTTTTTTTTTTTAATTTTTTTTATCAACGTTTATTTATTTTTGGGACAGAGAGAGACAGAGCATGAATGGGGGAGGGGCAGAGAGAGGGAGACACAGAATTGGAAACAGGCTCCAGGCTCTGAGCCATCAGCCCAGAGCCTGACGCGGGGCTCGAACTCACAGACCGCGAGATCGTGACCTGGCTGAAGTCGGACACTTAGCCGACTGCGCCACCCAGGCGCCCCTCCCCTCCCCAGAGTCTTAAGAATTTAAAAGTTGCAGCCCATGTATGGGTCTAATTTCCTTTGAACCATTTAACTTGAATCTACAGAATTGGGAATGCCATTTCAAATCAGAATGGACAGTTACATGTGGAACTTTGTCCTGAAATCCTGTCTGTTATTTCAGAAAGTATTAGAAACCCAAGAACAGTTTGGGAACATTTTGTTTGAAGTTTAGATCTGTATTGAGCTATTTGCTATGATCAACCAAAAGTTAAGAGTTCACTATATGGTACAGCCCAGGTGGTTAATCATTCGTTTGGGGTTTGGAACTACGTGAAACCGAGTTTTCTTAAAGGGAAGAAAATAAAATCCCATTTTTAACGATTAAAGGTTTAAAGTGATGAACTGTGTCAGACGTACGCACGATCGTGGGGCAGATTTCCACCATTCTGTGAACTCATGGTGTAAAATGGCTCGACAGGGTACGATCGCTTTGTTGGGAGCCCTGGCGTTCACCTCGGACCCTGCTGTTTGGTTTTAAGTGAAAGGACAAGATAATTCTTGGCTTAGGTCTGCATTAGCATATGCTGTGATCTTGCAGACAGGATTCAGAAGCAGAACTCAGAGAACATTTAGCTGGTGGTCTTCCTGAGCTTGGCTGGGTTTATTCTCCCTTACAGTAAGCTCCTCAAACGTATACGTTGGTTGAGTGCCTCCAGAATTCAGACCTGTTTCTTTACTTAAACCTTTACGATGCGTTCTGGAAGAGCTGTACAAAGCGGGAGTGGAGAGCTTGGCTTCACCTGGCCACGGGGCCTGACGTGGGCATTGCTGTGTCGCTCGCTCACCGTTCACATTCTAAGCAGTTTGCTGCCACCCCTGACCAGGCACCTGTTCCTTTCCACAGGTCTTTCTGTGGAGCATGCGGTCCTACACGTTAATCCGGAAGCTAGAGGGCCACCAAAGCAGTGTTGTCTCTTGTGACTTCTCACCTGACTCTGCCTTGCTCGTCACGGCTTCTTACGATACCAACGTGATCATGTGGGACCCCTATACTGGCGAGAGGCTGAGGTCACTCCAGTAAGGACGGACTCCCTGCTTAGGACTTTCTTGGCGGGGGTGGTGACTGATGAGAAAGCTGCCTTGGGTTAGGCACGTCCCTCGCAGAGTCCAGGGCATGGGAGGGGACAGTCTGGGTAAAAGGCACAGTGGGTTCGGTGTTTCTCAGGCGTTGGCTTGCAGGGGCACCTCGCCGTCAGTTACGTTCTCAAATTAGACCCGAGGGCTTCAGGGCTCCTGATACAGGAGGCGGTGTGTACTCTGGATTCAGCGTTAACGAAACCTCAAAATGACTCTTTCTTTCCATTTACTAATAACTGTAGTAGCAAATTCAGAACAGTCTTCTTACTGAAACTGGTATTTCCAAAATGAATTTTCATGTTCTCACAAACTTGGTCTTTTTCTCTTTGTCTCTGTTGTTTTCTGAAGCAAATAATAGGCAGTCCTATAATTATCATGTATCTTAACCTAAAAAAGGCTTTCAGTTTGTACTGTGGTATTAAAGTGAGAGCTGACCTACTTTGCATAAGGAAATCAGCGCAGGGAGCGCGACTAACCCCTCAGCCCCTTCCACAAGGCACCTGGAGCCTTAGGAAATGCGCTTTTTCCCCCCAGTCTGCTATCCTGAGGTTTTCCAGATGGGGTACAAGATGGGTCTTGAGCCTTTCCTAGTCGCACCATTTTGGCCTCCTGCCTGGGAAAGAAGATGAAGGGTGGAGAGTGGCCCATCACTCCAGGCCTGTCATCCTGTTCCTTTCTCCTCAGCCACACCCAGCTTGACCCCCCCATGGACGACAGCGATGTCCACATTAGCTCCCTGAGGTCCGTGTGCTTCTCTCCCGAAGGCTTGTACCTCGCCACGGTGGCGGATGACAGGTAACGAAGAGACACCTCTGTACGGGGCCTCGGAGCAAGTCCCTGCGAGTAATCGTAGCATTACCCTCTGGCCTGGCCTCAGGTCTGCTGATGCGCAAACGTGTCTTTTCTCTCTCCGTCCAGACTCCTCAGGATCTGGGCCCTGGAACTGAAAACTCCAATCGCATTTGCTCCTATGACCAATGGTCTTTGCTGCACATTTTTTCCACATGGTGGAGTTATTGCCACAGGGTATGTATCTGATAGCTGAACAGATGGGTAGCAGTTTCTGCTGAGTGTACTATGCGGCTTTTTAAGGGAAGAAAGCCTCTAGAATTTTCTTGCCTACGGTGAAGCCTTTAAAGAAATCCAAGAGGACACAAAATTCTAATATTCTATTCTGCCAATACAGGTTATCATTTACTCTTAATGTTCAATCTAAATGTAATTAAAGAGCTGTGATTCATGCCACTTAATGGGCCAAGTTCACAAGGAAGCAGAAATTGAGATGATGCAGAAATTTATATGGGAAACCATTTAGGGCAGAGACCACCTTACAGGGAACGTCCATAATTCAGGAGGTGGCGCTCTTCCCTCCGTTACATTTGAACTCACCGTGTGATCTAGAAGGGCTGTGCTCCCAGATAGCCCTTTGGTACCCCACCTTTGGTAGCTCACCTTTGGTACCAAAGGTGTCTTGAGTTCTTCTAATCCTCCCCGAAGCCTTAATTATTCAGCATTATAGCCTTCACTTCGATTCCAACCATCAGGGTTGCACTTAAGCGTTGCAGTTCACTCTCTGGGTGTCTCCTGCCGATGCAAGTCAGAGTAGGAAGGTGAATACCCGTCACAGTGAAAACATGTATTTCTGAGGTCGGCCTTAAAGCGTCCGTCTCTGTTTTGTTTCAGGACAAGAGATGGCCACGTCCAGTTCTGGACAGCTCCGAGGGTCCTGTCCTCACTGAAGCACTTATGCCGGAAAGCCCTTCGAAGTTTCCTAACCACCTACCAAGTGCTAGCACTGCCGATCCCCAAGAAAATGAAAGAGTTCCTCACATACAGGACTTTTTAAGCCACGCCCCATAGTCTTATACTTGTTCTCTTGGTAGCAGGATAAACCTCCCTGGCAGGGGAGCAGCTGGAACCAGGGGCCAGTTATCAGGTCTTGGCTCCGAAGATCATTTCTTTTTGGGACTGTGAACAGAATGTAGGGAAACCAGATACCAGTGGACTAGTCACCAGGGATTTTCTCCGTGACATGGGGAGGTCAGTCACAGAGGGGGACTCCGGCTCCGCGACAGCTGAGCCTTCCCTTAAACCCTGAGTCCACTTACAGACGGCAGTGCCCAACACCTTTTAAAGTCATGGTTTTGATTCAAGCGCAGTTACTCATGTTGATTCGGTAAGAAGGGTCAGCAGGCCTCAGGAGCCTCTGTGTCGGGGCGGAGTTGGGTCCCTCGACTGGCAAGCGTGGCTTCTGCCCCGCACTTAAGCGTTGTCGTGTTTCACACACAGTGGTGACACTGTTCTGAAGTTCTCTCCTGTGTCAGAGTGGCTTTGATGTTGGCAAGTGCCGTCCTTCCTCTGGCTCCCCTCTGACCGGCAGGACAAAATGCAGGACAAAGTTTTCACGGAGCCGTGTGCCATGAGGTATTGACTAAATTGCAGCTGACTCAGAGGCCGTGCTCCCGACTGATACACTATAAATGGCTTTTTTTTTTTTTTTTTTTTTTTTTTTATAAACAGTGGTGTGCATGTGCAGGCGATGACAGATGTGTATGTCCGGTCCCACACAGATGTCCCCCTAAACTGCATGACTGTTCAGATGGCCACCACGTTGGCAGGTGTTTGCCATTTGTAGCATATTTATTTGTATTTTCTCAGCAGATGTTAAGGTACAACTGTGTTTCCCTCCACGGTATCTAAAAACCATAGTTGTTAAGCTGACCAGTTGTGAAGATGTCTCTTCTTGATTGTGTAGAGAATTGGTGTGGCTGCCCCTTCGGCTGATTCTCGTGTACGCGGTCTTCCTCTGCTGCGTCACCTCATCGGACTCCTCAGCCGGTGTCACCTCCGCCCCTTCACAGAAATAGCTCCTTGAAAGTACTGTTCTCCTTCCTTCAGTGGCGTGTCATTATCTGATCAAGACACCTGATTCCAATGAAATCTGCCTTTGGAAAATTTAATATATTTTAAATTATTTTAAAAGAAACACAACACCTTATCCTTTGGCTTTCTTACTAGGTGCTTTTTTGGAGGCCAGTGTAACATTATAAAACTTGTTGCAAAAGTAGGAGAGTCCCCCCTACCACCTTTGTTGCCGAAGAAAAACATTTCTTTTCAAGATGAGAGGCTTCCATCGAAGGGAAAGTTAAAAAGCTTTTGGCTCACCGTTTCATTTTTTCCACTAAGAAAAAAATACCACCTCTCAAACCAAGTGAGTACAGCAGGACAGCGGGGAATGGCTGGGGCCAATTTTCAATTTTGTGGTTATCTTGAAATGTCACAGCGTAGTCTGAGAGGCTCTGGGCGGCTTCCCCGAGGCCCCACTTTGCCATTAGCTGCAAACTTTGCTTGGTGTCCTCGGGGAGTGGGTTGAACGCGAATGATGGAAGTAACCAACTTCTCCCTTTTGAATAGTGTAAGAACCTGACACCTTTGTAAAGAATAGCCTCCGAGGAGAGCTTATTCTGTGATACCAGAGATGGGGGAGGCTTTTCACATAGATGCAAGTTGAATGACCGCGTGTTTATAATCGGCGAAGGAGTCACTCGTAACACGGCCAACACGCAAGCTGCTTTATTTTTATTGAGAAGAACACTATCATAAATGCAGCCTGTTTGCTCTAAAATAAACTGCCACACTGCACAGGGCCTCGTCCTTGCGGCTTCGGGTCCGGCCCACGCTTGCCTGTCCTCCTTGCATTAAGGAGGGAGTCCTAGGCCTGGCCCCCATGGGCACAAAGTGACTCTTCACTGTCCACACCGCAGTTAGGAACCTACTTTAAGAGGAGAAATAGACACTTTTCAAGTAAGGGAACCTGAGGCCCTGTGCCTCAGGTTAATGGGCCAGAAATCCATTAACACCTATTTTTTTCTTCATTAACACCTTTATAAAGTAGATATGGAGATGGTGCCACAGATTAGATTTACACACTTGATTCTGGAGATGTTCAGTTTACCTTGAGTAATCGAAGACACTGGTACCACATGAGATTTGGAAGCCTTTTGTTCTAGACCAAAATGGGGTAGGCCAATTTCCTGCCATCTAAGCAATCGAATGGTAAAAAGCCTTAAGGCTAAAAGAAAGCATTTTACTCTTTTCCTGTAAAACAAATGGGCAGTGCAATAAGAGAGCTGTATATTAAAACTGTTTGGTATATACCTGCTCCAAACACAAACATGGTACTTTTTAAACCTTTGCCCACCCGTGTCTGGAACAGTTTTCCAAAACGCGGGGTGACTGTGGCTTCATCCCCCAGCCCGCACAGCAGTTCATCCCGTGTCAGAGTCCCCTCTTCTCCAGTCACTGTGGGGCCCGCGAATGGTGGCGGATGGTCCTCAGCATTTAGGCCTCTGTGACGATCAGGTCCCTGGTGACCTGGAAAGCGGCTATGAGGGAACTCAGCTGAATCTTCTCGTTGGTGCCAACAGAAAGTCTGTACCTAAAAGAAATCAAACAAGGTAAGAATAGAGAATATCACGGACAGCTACCTTTTGACAAGAGAACAGTAGAGATCACAGACGGAACATCTGCCGAAGGAGGAAAGGAGGCAGTAAAACTTCATCGTGAACAGTCCTCTTGAATGTGTCCCCTAACATTTTCTTCTCTGCCCTGAACACTCATTTATAATTCGATCCAAACTGGTGAGGAAAAGTTAAATAAAAAAATTGTTAGTTGTCAACGGCAGCGTCCTGAACTTAACTTTGTTCTAGCTGTACAGGGGTATGCAGAATTTACATGACTAAGGATTACTTCTTCACTCGCAAAATGAATTGAGCGAAATTATCATTCAGATTCCCTTCCTCTTAATTCACTGGGAAGTATGACTGACTGTGGTTCTGTGCTCTAGTAAAAGGTAAAGCAGGACACCGGTAGTCTATCTTGCCACCTTTCAGGCGCCCAGCCAGCGAAGGCAAAATCCCGACATTCACAGCATGGGGCTAAGGGACCTAAAGTGCGCATGTGGAAAGCCAGAGATAGCAAATTAGAGCTGGCCCTGTGTTGGCCTCTGTTTTGAACCCAATGCTTTTGTCTACTTAAATGATAGCTGCCAGCTTCACTGGGGGCTAATAACTGTGTTTATGGAGCCAGGCAAAGTGGAAAATTGAGTTTATGTTTACTTTTCCCCCCAATATGCTTTGCTATGCCAAAATGCTTTAATAACAGCTGGATAGCCGCTTGTCCCCAAGTGACCTGGATGTCGGAACCGAAGCAGGCCTTCCAAATAACAGCATTTCTAGAACCGACGTGGACCAGGCCTCTGAGGCCTAAGGAGAAGCCTTTATCTCAAATATGTAACTGAGCTGAACCTGTCCTTATGTTTATTCATATGTTCTTTAGATACGCAAATCATGCCCTTCCCCATGTTTCTTTCAGTGATCTCACCACAAACGAGATTGTGCCATTTATGAATGATGTAGACAAAATTGCAACCACGCAGGTAGGAGGGAAAAAAAACACTACAGGGTAAAAAAAGGAAAAGAAAATTGGGAAATACTCACTCAATGTCTGCCATTTTGGTCAATAAATGTACTCGAACTGAAGATGGAAAGTCAACTGGGGGAAAAAACAAAATCAACTGAGTGAGGTCTGCCACTCGCTGCTACCAAAAAAAAAAAAAAAAAAAATCACACCGTGATTAGCAATTTAAACATCAGGTGACACTAAACTTGTCTGGAGGCCTCAGATCACCAGGGACCGCACTTCTGAAGAAGTGAACACTACAGGTTTTCAGTTTTTACCCATTTTGTGAGCAGGTTCCAAAGTGGTCACAAGGACACAAGATCAGCAGCACTGCTTTAGCAAGGGGGCAGCTCTAGAAGGGAACTGGAAAGCCCAGTTCTCACTTGCTGTCCCAGTTTTACAAACAAATGTAATCAACTGAATTTTAAACGTCTATTCACACTCATTTCCCACAAAGTGCAGAGCTGGGCTTGAGTGGACCATGTTCTCGGGCAGCGGTCGTACCGGTTGGCCCGGTGAGGCCTGGAGAGGCCCCGGCAGGACGATGGCGGACCGGCAGGACGAGTGTCTGTAGTTGGCTGTCGCGGAAGGAAGGGTTTGCCCGAAAAGGCCACACAGCAGATCGCCTGGAGCGCCTGAGAAAATCCTGATGCCCAGTCCCCTCCAAAAGGCCAACTGAATTGGTCTGGGGGGCTTCCTATACACTGCCAAGGAGGAGAACCACTTCTCTGTACAGAAGTTACGACCAAGTGTGGAACTTCGCGTGGTTCGCTTCAGACTGCTTTGGTTTACACTGAAGACAGATGTTCCTCCTCCTCTCCTTTTGGGGGAAGATACCCTTAGAAATGACAGCGTGAATTACAGCATACTATTTGCTGCTATAAAGTACAAACCCTTGGTGGAATGAAAGTTGGCCCTCAAGAGTTTCTTTCCCCAGCAGTTTTAGAGGTTGAGAGAGTAGCTGGGGAACAAAGTTTCAAATAGCAACAAGACAAAACTAAAACTGAGGGGTCAGGTTCATACTTCATTCCTGTTTCTTCGCTTCCAAAGTGGAGCCTCGTGTTCCCTCCCCACCACCCTTAAAGCCCGCCACACGCCTCCCCCTCAGCTTCTCAGCTAGGAAGAGCCTGACTTACCTCTGTGCACAAACAAGTGTATCTCTGTCAGGATGTCCTGTAACGCCAACCCCTTCAGCGTTTTCAACTCTGTAATATCTAGAGAGGAATGGTTACGGCAAAAGGCACAAATTCCAGTAGAAACCCGCTGCACACAATTTTGAAGCCAGACTCTGGTCAGAGTGACTGGGAAGTAGGGTTTTTAATCCTGACACGGCTGTTTCTTTCGATTTGAACCTGCATGCGTTGGACCCCAATTCTTATCTTTATTTTATTGTAGAGTGAGAGTGTGTAAAGGAGAAGGGCAGGAGGAGACGGAGAGAGAATCCCAAGCAGGCCACCTGCTCAGCTCAGAGCCTGACACGGGGCTTGATCCCATGACCCTGGAGTCATGACCTGAACCGAAATCAAGAGTCAGACGCTCCAGCGACTGAGCCACCCAGATGCCACTCCCCCCCTTCTAAAAAATTGTTTTTATCTTCAACAAGAGCTTCCTTCTGTCTCGTAGAGAACAGAGCTAAATGCATCTCCCAGAAGGCTGCCCCTAGCTTTCCATTTCACCGCAAAATGAGAATAACAGTGGCCACTTGAAAATGATCACATCTGCCACCCCAAAGTCTAACTGCTTCTCTCATCCGTGAGGAAAGTGGCTTCAAGCCATACCCAGGTCAGAGCCCTTCAGGAGGAAGGGCTTTAAAGGCAGGGAGCCACTCCACCCAGAGACCTGTTGTTCCCACTGAAAGCTGACCAGATACATACACAGCCAACTGCCTTTTGCCAGTAGGGTGTAGACACCGGCTGCAGCCTGGGTTCCTGGGCCAAGTTCTGGCCTGAGGTACCTAATGTGCCATCGGCAGGACGTGAGAAAGGATACTTCTGTAGGCTGTCGTGAAGTCTTGATTCAACATCCAGTCCAGAATGTTGGCGATGTCTGACTTGAGTGGGTGCCCAGTGCAGGTGTAGACGGTCTCCTCTGTCACCTTCCCAAAGGCCATATTGGTGCTCTGTGCAGATAGACGGGAAGAATCATGGTGCCCGTCACCACGGCGGGTCAGGAGGACACCGGAGGCAGCAATACAGGTAGGCAGTAATGTTATGTGGGTGCAGGGCAGCTCGAACCCCGCACGGTGTACCCTGGGAAGACCTGGCCTCGTGAGAGGATGCCACTGTGGTGTTACAGCTGCAGCGTCCTTCCCTAGCTTTCCCTTGTCTCCAGCAAATTATTCTTGCAATTTTTCAAAACACAAAGGTTAGGGGGAAATCTTTGGTACGTTGTGAGACGGAGATCTTACCAGGTGTGGATTTCTGAATTTCTAGGTTGGCTGTGCTGCTGCTTCTTTCTTGAGAAACTATTCCAAAGCAGTGCCTAAAGATTTGCTAGGAGTAGTACCATACCTGCAGAATGTTCAGAGCCCTTCGCATATCTCCGCTGGAAAGAGTCACAAGTGCTTTCATCCCGTCCTCACTTATGTCCACCCTGAAAGGAGAGAGGCAGGAGGACCTCAGGGGCCTGGAGAGCGCAAGCGTTCACCAAGGGAATGAGATGGCCTGGAATGATTAAGGCTTTGAAGTAACGAAAGAAAGGGAAGGACGGAGGGAGCAGGACTCTCCTGATCTATAGGACCCAGAATTCACTCTGGTTTTAAGGAGTGTGGGCTTCGCATTAGCAGTCACAGCCCACTCAGAGTCTAGAAAGACCCTTATTTAGGACCAGGCATCGCCATGCTGAGCGACGGGCTTTGAGTTCTGTTCTGAGAGGAAAGAGCACCGGCGAGGCCCGGAGCACGAAGCCAGAGCACCCCCTTCAACAGGCAGCAGCTGGGGTTGGCTACTTGGCAACCGATTGATTCTACAGAAGGCAAAGTCTCGGTACCTTCCCTTCTAGTCAAAAAAGGCTAGAGGCATCTTAGCAGAAGGGACCTGGCAGCATGCAGTCTCCAATGACAAAAGGAGAGTAGGAGGAAATCGGGACAGCTTCCACGGGGGAGGAGGATGGAATCAGGAGAAGAACCAAGTGCCGCTTACGAAGAAAGTCCAGGAGATACCAGAGAGGATGACGACAGCTGACAGCCCGATGCTTCCTCTGTGCCCGGCACCCTACTTCGTTGTCTACACACATGATCACCTGTAAATGTCAACCGGCCAGCCATCCCAGAACCCGGCCTACGCTGCTCAGTCCCCAGGGCCCGCACATTTCCTGCTTTCCGATGTACTTACTTCTCTTCTTCTACAACATGTTCCAGGCGGGGAACCATCAGTTCAGGAGTCAGAGGACCGAATCGGAACCTCGTACAGCGGGACTGCAAGGCGGGGATGATCTTTGACAGATAGTTACAGATGAGGCAAAAGCGGGTATTTTCGGTAAATTTCTCGATCACTGGCAAGGGAAAAGAAAACAACCTCATCCATTCGGATTCTTCAAAAGACCTGGAAACCCTGAACTCTTCCATGGTCACGTGAAGGGTACAGAAAACAAGAGGTGCAGATTGCAAGCATGGAGGGGATGCTACTGTAACAAGAGAGGCGGTCCCTGTGGTCTGGATGGGGGCACCGGCCACTCTCTTCCCAAAAGCTGGTGAACTGGTCATCTCTACAGGATTTTATAAAATGCTTCCTTTTTGATGACTTTCCCTGATTCTGGCACCCCCCCATCCCCCTCCAGAGCACCCCTGCCCCTGCCATCCCCCTCCATAGCAACCCTGTCCCTGCCACCCCCCTCCATAGCACCCTGCACTTGCCATCGCCCTCCCCAGCACCCCTGCCATCCCCCTCCAGCACCCCTGCCACCCCCCTCCATAGCAACCCCGTCCCTGCCATCCCCCTCCCCAGCACCCCTGTCCTTTTGCATAAAACTCTATGGCAGGTTGGTGATGCCCCACCTTCTAATGGCGGGGCCGGGGGTACCTCCGTGTGGACTGTCCGGTGCACTTTGTCTCGAAGCCTTAGAGCATTCGAGAGAGTGATGAATTCAGAGAAGCTTATGAAACACCAGTTTCACTCTGCCGTTTCCCAGTGCTCTCACATGGGGATCTGCCCAGACTGACAGCCATTCCACGGAGCAAATGCTGAAGAAAGGCTGCCAAGGCTTTTAAGATCAGAAGAT